CTGATGATGGTTTGAATTTCTGTGGAATCTGTGGTGATTTCCCCTTTATCATTTTTTATTGCATCTATTTGGTTGTTCTCTCTTTTCTTTTTAATCAATCTGGCTAGTGGTCTGTCTATTTTGTTGATCTTTTCAAAAAACCAGCTCTTGGATTTATTGATTTTTTGGAGGGTGTTTCGTGTCTCAATCTCCTTCAGTTCAGCTCTGATCTTAGTTATTTCTTGTCTTCTGCTGGGTTTTGAGTTTTTTTGATCTTGCTCCTCTAGCTCTTTCAATTTTGATGATAGGGTGTCAATTTTGGATCTCTCCATTCTTCTCATATGGGCACTTATTGCTATATACATTCCTCTAGAGACTGCTTTAAATGTGTCCCAGAGATTCTGGCATGTTGTGTCTTCGTTCTCATTGGTTTCGAAGAACTTCTTTATTTCTGCCTTCATTTCGTTGTTTATCCAGTCAACATTCAGGAGGCAGTTGTTCAGTTTCCATGAAGCGGTGCAGTTCTAGGTTGGTTTCTGAATTCTGAGTTCTAACTTGATTGCACTATGGTCTGAGAGGGTGTTTGTTATGATTTCAGTTGTTTTGCATTTGTTGAGCAGTGCTTTACTTCCAATTATGTGGTCAATTTTAGAGTAGGTATGATGTGGTGCTGAGAAGAATGTATATTCTGTGGATTTGGGGTGGAGAGTTCTGTAAATGTCTATCAGGTTTCCTTGCTTCAGGTCTGAGTTCAAGCCCTGGATATCCTTGTTGATTTTCTGTCCGGTTGATCTATCTATTATTGACAATGGAGTGTTAAAGTCTCCCATTATTATTGTGTGGGAGTCTAAGTCTCTTTGTAAGTCGTTAAGAACTTGCCTTATGTATCTGGGTGCTCCTGTATTGGGTCCATATATGTTTAGGATTGTTAGCTCTTCTTGTTGTAACGATCCTTTTACCATTATGTAATGGCCTTCTTTGTCTCTTTTGATCTTTGTTGCTTTAAAGTCTATTTTATCAGAGATGAGGATTGCAACTCCTGCTTTCTTTTGCCTCCATTTGCTTGGTAAATTTTCCTCCATCCCTTTATTTTGAGCCTTTGTGTATCCTTGCATGTGAGATGGGCTTCCTGGATACAGCACACTGCTGGGTTTTGGCTTTTTATCCAATTTGCCAGTCTGTGTCTTTTGATTGGTGCATTTAGTCCATTTACATTTAGGGTTAATATTGTTATGTGTGAATTTGATACTGCCATTTTGATGCTAAGTGGCTGTTTTGCCCATTAGTTGTTGTAGATTCTTCATTATGTTGATGCTCTTTAGCATTTAGTGTGATTTTGGAATGGCTGGTACTGGTTGTTCCTTTCTATGTGTAGTGCCTCTTTCAGGAGCTCTTGTAAAGCAGGCCTGGTGGTGACAAAATCTCTGAGTACTTGCTTGTTCGCAAAGGATTTTATTTTTCCTTCACTTCTGAAGCTCAGTTTGGCTGGATATGAAATTCTGGGTTGAAAGTTCTTTTCTTTAAGAATGTTGAATATTGGCCCCCACTCTCTTCTGGCTTATAGAGTTTCCGAGAGATCTGCTGTGAGTCTGATGGGCTTCCCTTTGTGGGTGACCCGACTTTTCTCTCTGGCTGCCCTTAGTATTTTCTCCTTTATTTCAACCTTGTTGAATCTGACGATTATGTGCCTTGGGGTTGCTCTTCTTGCAGAGTATCTTTGTGGTGTTCTCTGTATTTCCTGCATTTGAGTGTTGGCCTGCCTGACTCTCAAGGTGGGGGAAATTTTCCTGGATGATGTCCTGAAGAGTATTTTCCAGCTTGGATTCATTCTCTTCATCACATTCTGGTACACCTATCAAATGTAGGTTAGGTCTCTTCACATAGTCCCACATTTCTTGGAGACTTTGTTCATTCCTTTTTGCACTTTTTTCTCTGATCTTGGTTTCTCGTTTTATTTCATTGAGTTGATCCTCGACTTCTGATATTCTTTCTTCTGCTTGGTCAATTCGGCTATTGAAACTTGTGCATGTTTCGCGAAGTTCTTGTATTGTGTTTTTCAGCTCCTTTAATTCATTCATATTCCTCTCTAAGGTATCCATTCTTGTTATCATTTCCTCAAATCTTTTTTCAAGGTTCTTAGTTTATTTGCGTTGATTTAAAACATGTTCTTTTAGCTCACAAAAGTTTCTCATTATCCACCTTCTGAAGTCAAATTCTGTCATTTCGTCACAGTCATTCTCCATCCAGCTTTGTTCCCTTGCTGGTGCGGAGTTTTGGTCCTTTCTAGGAGGCGAGGTGTTCTGGTTTTGGGTGTTTTCCTCCTTTTTGCGCTGGTTTCTTCCCATCTTTGTGGATTTAAACACCTGTCGTCTGTGTAGTTGCTGACTTTTCGATTGGATCTCTGAGTGGACACCCAGATTGTTGATGATGGAGTATTTCTGTTACTTGGTTTTCCTTCTACCAGTCTAGCCCCTTCACTGTACGACTGCTGAGGTCCACTCCAGGCCCTGCTTGTCTGAGGTGTACCTATAGTGGCTGTGGAACAGCGAGGGATGCTACCAGTTTCTTTTTCTGCTATCTTTGTCCGAGGATGATGTCTGCCAAATGTCAGTCTTATGGATATAGAGGGGTCAGGGAGTTGCTTGAGGAGACAGTCTGTACTTTGTAGGAGCTCAAGTGCTGAGCTGTGAGCTCCGTTGTTCATTCAGGGCTGCTAGGCTGCTATGTTTAGTTCTGCTGCAACCTAACTCGTAAGAAAACCCCTTTTTTTCTCAGATGCTCTGTCTGGGGGCGGGTTTGGGCTTTCCTTGTGAGTGTCCGCCTCACTGTCCTGCCCAGCTAGGAGGCAGTCTAGTCACTTTTTGCCTGCCGAGGCTTCGCCCTGCTGGTGTGAGGTTCACCCTTTTGCTGCAGGCTCTGCCCGTCTGCTGTGGTCTCCGCCCTGTTGCCACGGGCTACGTCCTGCTGCGGAGTCTCTGTGTTGTACCAGGTTGCCTCAGCAATGGCAGGCTGCGTCAGCAATTGGCGTGTACCTCAGTAGGGGCTGATTGCCTCGGGAATGGCTGATGCCCCTCCCCTACGGAGCTGTGCTTTAAAAAAAACCTTTTCACCAGGAGCGTTTGGAATCGCCGTTTTGTTTGTCGCACTGCGCTCCCCCAAACGCTGAGTCCCTGGGATTTCCTGGGCTGGGTCACAGTTCAAGACCCGTTCAGTCTCAAATTCAGCCCTCTTGGGTCTCAGTTTGCTGGTTCAACAGGGCACCCGTAACAGTGCGCTTTTGTATGGAGTGCTGTAGAGTGCCTTTGTGCTCCGGCACAGGCGGGAGCCACACCGGCTGCACCGGCCGAGACCTCTGCCTAGCATCCCGCGTCTCTTTTATACCTGGGAATTTCCCCGTTCTGTGGGCAACTAAGATCCATCTGGAAATGCTTCCCCGACTCACCCTCTCCACGCGTCCAGCAAGAGCTTCAATCCTGGGTTGTTCTTACAGCGCCATCATGAGTCCTCCCCTCTGATAATTCTTACAGAGTTTTGTCATGAATCAAAGACCAAGACGTATTCTCTAGTCAAGTGCAGGCCATACGGCTTCTTTCCTTGTCTTGACTGTATAACTTTTGACCACATTTCAGTTCTGCATGGCTGAAGAGCCCTCAGGAAACTCACAGTCATGGTGGAAGAGGAAGCACTCACCTTCCTCATGAGGTAGCAGGAGTGAGAAGCACCTAGTACATAATTAAAGCAACTTACTTAGGATTTACATTACTGTTAAAAACTGCTAAGGGTTACCATTATAACATGTAATTGAGACCACTGAAAATGTATTTACATGCAAGACGTGTAAGAAATGGTGTGTAAAATGTGTTTTTAGAAAAAGAGTTTTATAAGGCATGGAAATGTAACATTTTGCCTAGGGTTTAAGAATTGTTTTGAATTTTATGAGATAAAGCTGAAGGTTCAAACAAGTTGTGGATTGACTGTAAAAAATTAATCTTGCAAAAGGAATTCTGTGCATCAACATTTTAACTAAATTCAAAAGGGTATGATATGGTTTTTTCTATAAATTGCACATTGAAATAAAAGCACAAGATTCTTTTTAGCAAAATTTGTAAAAGGTTATAAAAGATTTATAGGAATCTTACCTCATGGTTAAACTGGTTAAGACTGGATAGAAGTGTCTATAAGATTTCATTAGAAAATTGAGTTGACATTAATTGTAGACTAATGTAAGGGTAAAATTTGGCTTTCTTTCTCTCGAATAAGATTTTCATGTAATGTTAGAGGATAATGAGAGGGTTTTTGCCTTAAAAATTTTCTTTAAGTCATCATTTTGGCTAAATAAATAGCTTATGGTAATCCAGAATTGTATTTCATAATATCAAGTGTTCTAAATCTCAAACATATTTAACAGACTTCCAAAAATCAAACTGCAGTTTCAAAGTTATCTTTCCTGACTCCTAGCTTTTGGATGTTACAGAGGGCCCCTGGAGCATCCAAAAGAGAGGTAAACAGGATTATTCAACATGTTTAGGTAAACGGAATTGCCAAAATGATGCTTAATTTTCTTCAGGTTATATTTCAGTGAATAACATTAATATATGTTCCAAAATTGTATAGGATTTCTAAAATTCTAATGTCTGAGTATGTGCTATTGTCATAATTAAGGATATTATGTTAAGTTATTGTAAACCACAGAAATAACCACATTTCTTTGTCAATTTTGTTTTTAACTTTAACAACCCTGGACATTTTGCTATTCACAGACAATTATTGTCTTGTTTTGATCCTCTTCAAAAGATGGTTTATAATCAGCTGTAGAACATTGGCAGGTGATTGGACTAAAGGAAAAATGTACAGGCAACCATGGCATTGGACTAAAGAAAAAATGTACAGGACTCATGAAGAGCTGAAGTGTTCATGAATATCAAACAGAACAAGAGTTAACTAAATGGACTGAACTAATAGAAAACTGAAGTAATCTTTTAAAATTTTTGCTTAAAACATTGTTCATCCTTGTTTTCCAGAGTCAAGGAAACTTTTATTTTGAGCAATTTACAGTCCTGCCTCAGCCTCCTAAGTAGCTGGGATTACAGGTGGATACAACCACGCCTGTCTAATGTCTTGTAAGTTTAGTAGAGATGGGGTTTCACCATGTTGGCCAGGCTGGTCTCAAACTCCTGACCTTGTGATCCTTGGCCTCCCAAAAGTATTCTTAACTCATGGCAATACAGTTATTTGCATCAGTGCAATAAGAACCTGTTTTCTTTTGCAACCTGATGCAATTAAATAAACTGTTTCTTTTATCTAGGCTTTGACTGGAATGACACGCTCTCCTTTAGGGAATCAAGCTTGACTTGCAGAGCCAATAAAAGCCCCTTGGGAAACTGGCCTCATATCTTGTTTACAGTTCCCGTACAGGGTTCTAACCTGTGTTGAGTAAAGAATGTCACTTTCTAATAGGCAAAAGAACCCCATATTCTTGGGACCTGAAGAAGTTAGGAATATACCTAACTCATAGATATTTGAGGATACAAACCTATGGTTGGGCTTGGCTTTAGAAGTTCTTATCTGAGATTCCTTGTGGAACAGAGTTCCTTCAAAGCCAATTTAAAAGGCCTATGTGAAAATGATTATCCTTGCTTCACTTTATGTGAATAATCAAGCAAAATATAAGGCTAAAGTTTACTGTGCTAACAACTCAGCCCTATCATGATCTGTTTTTAACAAAAATGAGGACTGGAGAGAGAAAAATTGTGTTTCAGAACTTATCATACACTTGTCATTATATTCTAGTCTCAGTTGTTTTTATGTTTTTGTCTGCATTTTAGACTAACCTTGCTTATTCCTGTGAACCAACCAGTGATCTCTGGCTGCAGCTCAGAAGAAACAAAAGGGATGGGTAATGTAAAAATCTGGATCAATATTCTAGTTCTGGGAAGTTATCCTATAAATTCTGCCAGGTTATAGGAGTAAATAGGGTGCCCATTATCTGGAGGTTTCCTTTTTTAAGAAAATTATACCAAGAAAGCTAACCAAATCCAAGCCCTATGCACTCAAATCTTAGCAGACATAACTATAGCCACTAGTTATCTGGGCATGCCAGCAGCCTTGGGAGTTTTGAGTTCTCCTTACCCCCCACTTTTGTTTCATTTTGATACATCTTCTAATAACCCAGTTTGTCTCTCCCCTTTAGGCCATTGAACTCCAGACGGTCATGCTACCAGAACCTCAGAAAATGGCTCCCTTTCACTAAAGACCCTTAGATAAGCCTCTGAGGAAGATCTGACTGCCATCTTCCCAAAACAGTGCCCCCTGTCAGCAGGAAGCAGTTAAGATCAGTCTTTGTCCCTATTCTAATGTCAATTAGATGTACCTCTTCGGAGAAGGAATGATAGAGGCAAGAGGCAGACAAGTGCCTAGGCAGAGAAGGAAGGGTCCCTGGAGAATCGGTGACCCACCTCATGAGTATTTACACCAGTTGTTTTGTGCAGATAAGAGAACCTGCACAGGGGGCTTGCCTGCATGCCTGCCGCAGACTGGAGGGCCACATGCACTGGGGGAATGGGGTGGAGCCACCAGGAATTCACACCTTATGCAAGGAGGAGCCTGGCCTCTTCAACTCATGTGTGGTGGTCCTGAATCAATTTGTGAGGTGGAAACCTGCTTTCAGGACTCCTCTCTCTTTGCTGAAAGCCTTATTTTCACTTAATAAATTCTGTCCTCTTCACCTTTCAATGTTTCCATGTGCCTAATTCTTCCTTGTCATGAGACAAGAATCCAGATTAGCTGAGCTAAGGAACAAAAAAAACTTGTATCATTAGTGCTCAGAATAATTGTGTTCCTGATAAATTTAAATCCATGAAGTACACTTATGTTGAGAAAATTTGTTGGAAATAGAAGAAATGCTCTGAAAAGGATTCCCCATGCTACCTCTTTGCAAATTATCTTTCTTGTTAACCAACCTCAGACAATTCAGAGAAGTCAGTGCAGGGAACAAAAAAGCAAACACTTTTTTTAGGGCAGATAACAATTACCAATTAATCCTAGATTTAAGAAATGTTTCTTAATATTATACTACTGAAAAATAACTATTCAGTTATGATTACTAGGAGAAAAGATGGACTTATGCACCACACTCAAGAAAGGACTCAGATCTTTGTAGGCAATATAATTCTAAAAGGTGTTTCCTGTCTCTACGATGATTCTAGAATCATTTTTAATGGTGGTAAAATCACCTTTGGAGAAATTTTAACAGTGAGAGAAAATTATGGCAGTGAAGGAGTTCTTATCTGGCCAATCTCCATCTTTCCTGTATCCTTCAAGCTGCTCTGAACTATTTCTGGGCTTTGCTCAGGCTAACTTTCGGTGACATTTAGTTGATAGTTTAAATGATTATAGCTCTTGTTTCTCCAAAACTCAGTTGTCTTTGTAAAGCTAATGAGAGAGCACCAGGCTAGGAGGAAAGAGGAGCCTGAATTCTGCTAAGGTGTAGACATAAATGATTGTCAGCCATTATTCTGGAGGTCACAAGATATGCAACTTCCCCAATTACTCTTGCAGATAGCATCACTACCCTAGAATTTAAGATTGGCCTTTTGAGGTATCTTTTCAGGTTTTCTGGCATGTCTGAGGAGACCAGTGGCTCCACTTGGACCGACCAACTACTCCTGTGGCCCTACCCAGAAGCAACTTAGCACAAATGAGAACCATTTCCCACATGCCTATGATTACACCCCCAATCAGTCAGAAGCAAGCACCCATTGCCTAGTTCCTCCAATCCCTTCCTGCAAACTATTTTTGAAAAACTCTAGCCCCCACATTCTTGGGGAGATTGATTTGAGTAATAACTCCATTTCCCATATGGTGTGGCTGGCCTCATGTCTATTAAACTCTTCCTTTATTGCAATGCCATGGTCTTGTTTTATCTGTGCGACGGGCAGCAAGAACTCATTGGATAGTTACAGTGGGGTGAAAGTATGAAGCAATTTCATTTTGTCTGATATATGTATTTTTTTATCTTGAGGGAAATACTTAACACGCTAATGAAAAAATATTACCTGAAATGGTTGTCTTTATTTTATGATCTATACCATCTTACATCAGGCATTGTGGGGAAAAGGTTCAGGTCTCTTAGCCTCTTGGGAGAGCCCTGTGACTCAGTCTTGAGTCTGTTTCATTTATTATTAATAAACAGTTGCCACCTGTCCCTGAGGTAAAATATAATTGAGGAGAGAGGAAGCGTAAGCAGAGAAATAGTTTTTCTTGACCTAGTGTGATACACAACACACATGTACATACACACAACATATACACACACATTGTAGGACATATCTACTAAATGTCTGTATTTAGACAGAACATAGTCTCTCTCTTTCTCTCTCCCTCTCTCTCCTTCATCCCCAACCTCTCTATCACCTTTATGTGCATTAATTTTTTCTCTCAGCATGAGAAGAAAAATTTAAAGTACCTTTGAATTTCAGTGCCACACAAAGAAAACATGTAAAAATCAGCATACAATGCATCTTCAGATTTTCAATTAAAATATAGTATTTTCTGCACTGCAGATTGAAAGCATCTGGGTGGGGGACTAAGAAATAATGATAGTTTAAGTTCATGCTTTATGATAGAGAAGAAAGTGATTTCATGAAAGAGTCATTGCTTAACCTACCACAGTCTACTGTCTTCAGACATCATTGCTTCTCACCACTGGATAAGGACATGAAATTTTTATGACCAATCCCACAGAAATAACTGTTGTCTTTTTGCCTTTTGAGACTTCCCTATTGTTCTTTTCATGGATCAGCAGGACAGGCTGCCTTATTGGACTGGACTGTGAACATGGAGTAAAATGTAATATGGCTGTATCACTAATTAGAAAGGGATATGGTAAAAATCTGACTGTAGTAAAATAATATAGTATATTCAAACTCACTATATTGTAATAGCAGGAAGTATGCTTGAGATATTAATTGTGCTTATTAAATGTGGTATTTTTCATAAGAAAAAAGAACAATAATTAGACAATGATTTTTTATTCCCTGGTAAAGGAAAAGATGCTTGCAGTTTATGGCCCAGCATATCATTCTCCTAGATATAAATTCTAGGAAAACTGTTATACTTGAGCAGCACTTAGAGACATGTACAAGAATGTCCTTGCAATGCTGTGTATGATAGTAACCCACTGAATCCAAATATTCAGTCACACCATAGTGGATAAACAAAATGAGGATTATTCATATAATAGAATACTTTGCAGCAGTGCAAATAAATGAATGCATTACATGTTTACACAACCCGGTAACGAAATGTTGACAGGAAAAATAAGTAAGTCAATTTATGTAATTTATTCAATGTTCAGAGCCATGAAAAATATAACAACATATTTGGCTGGGATTTAAACATGTGCAATGAAATGATATAGAAAAACAAAGAACTGATAAGCTCAAATTCAAGGAAGAGAGAAACATAGCACATGGCAAAAATACATAAAATATTTCCTAACCCAACCACAATGCAAAAGGATATAAATATTGAATCTTTAAATCATTGTCATTGCACCAGTCATATAATCAAGTTAGTGGTGTTCTATTTTACAAGTGGAGAACTAAAGAAGGTTGAACTGTGAACTTTCCCAAGGGAAGTAACTCAAAGTTAAGATTTGATGTATCAAAACTGAGGAGAACTAGAGGGTAGTCAGTGTTAGGACAGCCAAGGGAGCAGCTGGAAAGGCGCCCAACCCAGAGTAGGAGTTCATGTAAGGACTGAGGAACCTCTAACCTCAAGAAGGAATAGAAAATACATGGAAAATGTAGCCTGGGGAAGATAGTTCTAGGCAGCTACAGGGAGGTGGTAAGTTTGGGAATATAAGGTTTTCTTGCAGAGATCTGGAAAGATGATCTGACTGAAGTTGTAAATTAGACTTGGACCCCACCTCCCTGCCATCACTATGTCCCAGCCACAGACAATGGAGACAGCACAGGGCAGCATTAAAAACAGGGGCTATGGAGTTTGAGAGGTAGCAGGACTGAATCCTCGTCTGCCTCCAGACCCATAAAGCAGCTCTCAATTTCTGTAAATAGGAATGATGACATCTACTTCTCAGGGTTGAACGTTAAATGTTTACATATCATCATTACCAACCTATCTCCTGTTTTGTAGCCAGTACGATCATTCTGAAATATAACTCTTGCTTCTTTCTCTTTAAAACTCAATGGTTCTTAATTTGTACAGAACAAATACTCCAACTCCTTAACATGCCTTTCAAAGTCTCTTGGTGATCTAGTCCTTGCTTCCCTCTCCAGTTCCATGGATCGTGGCCTTTCAGCCATGTTAGACCATCTCAATTCCCCAACGCCTCATGCCTGCTCAACTTTGCCTGGAACATGTCTCCTCACCCTTTCTCACCAAAAAAAGCCTGCTACTTTTCAGAGCTCAGCTTGGCAATCTTCAACAGGAAACCTTTGATTTAATGAATATGTATATTCAGTATGTGTATATATACATGTATAGTATGCATATGTACATAGAAATTATCAGTTCATTATCATATCAGAATTTATCTGGATGACACTCTACACTACCTTAGAATGTAAACTTCAAAATTGTTGTAATATATTCTGTATATGAACACAGTGTGCCTAGATAATTAACATTAAACAGTAACACCAACCAATTAACTATTTCTTGGGAGCAATTTTTATAAATATGGTAGTTGTTTTAGGTTCTATTGAGAAATAACTCTGTTATATATAATTTTTTAATTAAATAGTTTATAGTTTAACATAAAATATACCCAATCATAAAAGAGCATCAGACTAAGGATAACCATCTTGCTATAAATCAGGGTAGAGTTAGGGAATTTTTTCTAACTTAGAGTCAACAGTGGGCAATGCTAAAAATAAGATCACAGAGGAAGGATGCAAAAGAATTGTCAGCAAACTCGGGAATTGCTGCCGAATGTTCCTTTTTGTGTTTCAACTTCTTCCACAGTGTGAAAACTAAAGCTTAAGATTGCAACCAGAGGGGCTTCTCTTACCTCTGCATCAAAGCGCGGATCCTGGTAGGCATCACTGATGTTCACTGGAAGGCCTGTTGAAGCAACGAGCTCAGCAACGCTGTTATTTATTAGCCAGTCGGAGTATGATGATTTCTCCATGCTTTCTTTGAAACTATCAGAGCACCAAGGGAGGCAGGAAGAAAAGAGAGAAACATAAGTTTTCTTGAAAGCAAACCCTATAAACTACACTAATAGCAGGATAATCTATTCTTATTAAGAAGTAATAAGTGACATTAGTCACAAAACAATAGCAAGGTATTATCAGAAGCTACTTCAAAGTGACCTACCTGCTATAACGTATAATAATAAAATCCATGGGCAGAAACTATAGATTCCCTATGATTTAGAGAGCAACTGTAGGTTGTATTTAAGTCCCAAAGCTGGCAAACATACGTAAGGACCAAAATTAACAGTAAGACACCAACAACTAATAAAATTCCATCAACCTCCCAGCTTGCCCTGTTAATTGAACAGACTAGACGTTCTGGCACAAGGAAGAATGAAACCCAAATGGGGAAAAATCAGAAAGTAAATTGAGACTTTAAAAAATTACAAATGTAGCAAAAGAAGTCTAGACTATGGTCTTTTTAATTAGTAATTATTTGAAAAATAATTTTACTATCTTAGTAATTATTTTAATAACTATTTTAGTATCTTAGTAACTATTTACAGAAATGCTGTGAGAATTAGTTAAGACAACCTATTCCTCTCCTCCTTTCCATCTTTTCCTCCACAAGTATATGTTAAGCACTGCCAGGAGCTGCAGAGCACAAAATTGAGAACTGTTCAAATTAGTATTGGCAAGGAGAATTTTCCTGGAGGATGTCCGATTTGTGGCTTGGCAAGTGATAACTGAAATTATGTGAATGGACACAAGTATACTAGGGCAAGGTTTTCAAACTACCTTCTGTGGAACCCTTCTGTGGGTTTCATGATATGTTAATGAGTATACTACAGCAAGAATAATAATCACTCTATTGGCTTTTTAATCTAAACTACACTATATGTAAGAAAACACTAAACACACATATCATCTTTGTTATTTTGCAATAATGTGCCTGTGTGAAATTATGCCATGCTGAAAAGGCTGGAAACTGCATGGAAGGGCCACGTAGATATTACTGCATGAGTGAGTGGGACACGTAGATATTACTTACCATCATTAATATATCTCGTCTAATGATTGCTGGCCTGTGTCTGATAAATTCAGCATGTATTTGTAATGTCATTCATCCCTTATTGCATATTAAACATTAATAATACATAAACTTATTCTCTGTGGCTCTCTGGCTGAAAAATGGAAGTTTTAATAAAAAGCGGAGTCTCATAGATCTTAGATGGCGCTTAAATCAAAGAAGTAAAAAGACTGAGTACTTAGAAGAGAAAGCTTGATTTTCTAAAACAAAACCAAACAAAAGAACAAACAAAAAAGTCTTTATTTTCTCTTTGCCGTTTTATACCTGTGTGATGAAATTTTATGTTGTGCTACATTGAAAGCAAAATCTAAGAAGAAACATGAAAATGCACCTCATATGAAGATCTAACTTAATGAAGTCAATTCTAGGTTTACGAAAGAGTGTGGGATAAATTCTGACCTTTCTTTCAGGGATTAATTGGCTTACCAGTTCATTCTGCACTGGGTACATTATTCCACATTTTAATTTTTAAGGTGTGCTGTGACCACATTGTTTCGAAGCTGCTGACCTAGAGTGTTCTGTGGAGCATGGGAAGCAGCGCTGCAGCAGGAGCTGGGGAGAGGTCTGGGTATATAAGTCAAGGGAGGAACTTGAGAAGTGGTCAGGTAGTGGGGAGCTCAAGGAAGGAGCCAGATTTAACAGTAAGTGTCAGCAACTTTCAAGCTGGCTCTTTCAGGATGAGAAAGAGTTCAGGAAGGAGAGATTGGAGGTGTTAGAAGGAAACAGCAGGAACAAAAGACACAAATGCAGCAGAGTACAGAGTGTGTTCTTGGCACAATGAGTAATCGTATGGTGGAATAACACTGAAAAGGAGGTCAAGTGTCAAAGGTGAGGCCCTCACCAAGTTGCTGAGACCTTAGTTATAGGCAATGGAGAACTGTTTAAGAATATGGAGCAGGGGAGTGACGTGGTTTAAGATGTGATTTTAGAAAGCTTAATCCAGGGACAATGAGCAAGAAGACCTGGGTAGGAGACACTGAAGGTGAGAAGAGGTCTGGTAAACCACAGATGTCATGCAGATGGGAGGCAATGGTGCTGGTGACTCAAGATGTACCACAGAAGGTTCCAAGGCTCCATGGCCACATAGCAGTGGCTTACGTTTTGCTCCCGAGTGCCTGTGGCCCTATTAGCAGAATGCAGTTGTTTTAAGGAGTGGGGAGATAAGGAAAGATGACAGATATTCTGTAAGTCTAGGACATATTCATTTTTGAAAATCCAGGAACAAAACCTTATTAGTCCTCAGAACTGAAAACTCTAATCCAGAGTTAGCATAATTTTCAGGGAGAGTAAAATGCATGAGATCACTCAGGGACAGAACACACAGGGAAATCTATATCTAGGGAAAGGATGGAGAAGAAATTTTAAAGAGGAAAAACTTAAACTTATTGCTATATACTGTGGGCCAAGGGTCAGGCCTGATACTTTACCTAATTAATTTGTTTTGTCCTTAGATAAATCCTATGAGACGGATATGCTTCTCTATATTTTATGGATCAGAAAATGGAGACCTGCGATGCTCAATCACTTTCCTAAATGGAGATAAGATTTTACCTAAATCTGATTCCAAAGTCCTAAATTGTACTATATTGTTCCATTGCCTTTCAGAAGGAGTTAATGGATAGGGTTATAGCAAGAATAGGGTGGGTCGTCACCTAAGAACAAAAAGGGAGGGGCAGTCCACATCAGAGAGTTTAAAGACAGTGCTAAAGAAAATAAACACTTCACTCTGAGACTTTAGATGGAGGAAGGGGGAGGAAAAACCATTGGAGTTGATAATTAAGAGCTTTAGATTCCTAACTACGGAATTCCCAAAGAAGATACAATGACAAAAACACTTACTGAGCAGGGGCTTCTGAAAAACACACTCTAAATCTTTTTTTTTGAGACGGAGTTTCGCTCTTGTTACCCAGGGTGGAGTGCAATGGCGCGATCTCGGCTCATCGCAACCTCCGCCTCCTGGGTTCAGGCAATTCTCCTGCCTCAGCCTCCTGAGTAGCTGGGATTACAGGCACGCGCCACCATGCCCAGCTAATTGTTTTGTATTTTTAGTAGAGACGGGGTTTCACCATGTTGACCAGGATGGTCTCGATCTCTTGACCTCAAAAACGCACTCTAAATCTAAAACATGCTTAGAATTTGACTTGGTTCAGTATGCATACTGCATTGAAATCATTGTAAAAATCATTGAACAGTGCAAAAGGAATATTGACTCCTGTGCAAGGCACGGTTGAGGCAGTTTCTAAAGTATAAGCTATGATCTCTGCCCTCAGGGAGCTTGCTACTTAGCTGGGGAGATGAGAAATAAACACTGACTTTTAAACAATACAAAAATTAAATGCCCAGTTCAAATTTCAAATGAAAGATTTTTCACATAGCTGTATTGACATGTTGCCAAGTCAACCGTATCAATCACAAATGCTGAAGAAGTCCATGGAGGGAGAAATGACTTCAGGTGTTGTAATCTAGCTAAAGCTTCAGAGAGGAGATAATATTGCAACAGTGCAAACAGATTTTCTGAAAGTCACCTCTACATTTCTTCAGTTGAATGTTGCACAGGAACATAAATTAAGACCTGAGTGATAGGATTCTCAGAGAGACAGTCAGGAAAGTTGATTTATCACTTGGTATGTACGTCAGTCTTAGTCCATTCAGGTGCTATAGCAAAATACCATAAGTTGGGTGACTTATAAGCAACAAATATTTTTTTCTCACAGTTTAGAGACTGGGAAGACCAAGATCAAGGCACTGGCAGATTCAGTGTCTAGTGCCTTCTTGCTGTATCTTCACATGGCAGAAACAATGAGGGATCTCCTGGGGCCTCTCTTATAAGGGCACTGATCCCATTCATAAAAGCTTCACTCCCATGACCTAATCATCTCCTAAAGGCCCACCTCTTCATACCCTTACATTAGGGACTGGGTTTCAACATATGAATTTTTGGGCAGACACAAATATTCAGACCAGAGTAATCACATTCTGGCTTACGCACCACCTCAGTTTTGGAATTGCTAATGGTCTACTATAACAGAGAATCATAACACTGAATTAGAGTTTTCAAAACCCTGCTTCTTTTCTTTAAAAACAAAAGGTGATTTTATGTTATGATTAAGATCGTGAGTTTTGGCATACCTCAATCAAATATCCCCTTTGCTGCTTTCTAGCAAAGTGATCTCGGGAAAGCTTCATCTATAAAACAGGTATAATACTCCTCTGGAGATTAAGGTGATAATTTATGCAGAGTGCTCAGCATATTATTTAGCCCACAGCAAACATTTTCTAAAAGCATCACAACTTTCAAAGCAAATGCTGCACATGACAGTACCCTTTATACATTTCAGTGATGTGGTGTTGTGAGTTTAATCACAAAGGAAAGGGCCCAGATTATTTCTGCTTTTGGAAGGATACATCTAACTAAGGATAAGCTCTTTCAAAAAGTTCCTACAGCTTACCTACCCTGATTTATGAGGAACTTTTGATTCAGTATGGTTTTCTTTTTTGCAACTGGTTTCTGTTGGGACAGAACATGGGAATATCACAGCCACGGCCACGTGTAGTTGCGCCCTATAAAAGGGAGAAGTGGAGGCTGAAATTAGTCTAACTGTGCATGTTTGCTTGAAGTTGCAGCTACCTCTAGAGGGTACCTTTTCCTAATTCTCACAGAGACATTCGTATGGGCTTTCAGTGCCCCTCCTTCAAACTTTTCTTCAACACATCTGAAAAGTGGGCATGTAATCTCAACTAGAGCACCATCAGTGACAGGAAACCCACAACCTATCATATATTACATTATATTTTGTGGCAGCTCAGTTACTTTCTAATAATCATTATCCTTTGTTCCAAGTTCCATGGTCTGTGGCCAAAGAGCATGGATCTCATTATCTGACAGCCCTCCAAATATTTGGCAATAATTAACATG